ATGGTGGTGTATATATGTCAATCCAAATCTCCCGTTAGGAGGCTCTAGCAAAAAGTCTCTAAGGTTGTTTCTGGCTAGGTGAAAGAAGAAGAAAAAGAGATTACCTTACAATAAACAATGGGAGCACTAGAATCTCTGTGTAAGAGACACTGGGCTATAATCCATTGAAGAGAGTGTTGGGAGACAGGCATGTTAGTTTGCTTAGACTTTGCATTTATTTGAGGTGGTTTGAGGGTGAGGGGGGACAGACAGTAAAACTTCCCCTGGCCACTCTGTGGTGCCACCCATTGGCTACAAATAAAAGTCAGAGCGAAGGCCTTTTCACATGGCAGGGAGATGTTCCTCCTCACCTCCATAGGCAGAAATAACTTCCTTTGCTTCCGTGGAGTCACGTACACTTATCTCTTAGATTGAGGATCATACTGGTGTTCGTGTCTGCCTCCCTGCTGGGCTTTAGCTGCCGGAGGGTAGGGCTTGTACATTATTCACCTTTTATCACCAGCACACTGCCTGGACACGAAGTAGGCCCTCAACAACGATTATTGAATGAGTGAGTAAGCATGAGGCAGTCACTGTGGGGAGTCATCCTCTTTCCAGAATCGTTTCTCCTTTTCACACTGGCAGCCTTGGGGAAGGAGAAAACTAGGTTATGAAAGGGCAGCAGGTGATAGTTCCAGAGTCAGACACCTGCGCGTCATGACCCAGCAGCTCTGGAGAACGTCAGGAGACAACTGCACAGCAGAGGTGGTGTGGCATCTTTGTGGACTTTGCCTGTAGGATTCAGGCATTTAATGCTGAGACATCGGGCAAGGAGCAGAGAGAGTTGTCTGTAGGGCCAAGTGCATAATATGTGGGGCCCAGTGCAAAATGAAAATGCAGGGTCACTTGTTTAAAAAAAAAAAAAAAAACAAGGAGAAAGTACTGTTCAGGGTTTTTAAATATCAAGTTGTTTTCCTTTCTTTCACAGTCTCTGTCCTATGACTTGTCAAGGGGTTTATTATTTGCTGTTAACACTGTTCTAAGTTGAGAACCTTTCGTGTGTTAGACCATTAGCATTGATTTTACTGATCATCTTTATATTGTATGATGCCAATTTCAGATGTTTAACTCATTTAAACCCACACATGTTTAACTTATATGTGGGATCACCAAAATTATACAATTTGTATTCTGTAGCTGGTACATGCATATGTATTTCCTTCCGAGCAGAACAGTGGAAAATCTGCACAAAATTAACTGTTTTTATTTCACATCTTGATACATGCTCATCTTACCAACACCCTTTATCTTCAGTTTACTGATGGATAAGGAAAAGGTGAAAGAACAAGAACTGTGGGCTGTCCTGTTTCCTTCTCTGTCATCATTTTCAGCATAAATGGCTGGCTAACACGGGGAATCCATGCAGAGGATATGATGGGTTCCTTCCTCATCCATGTTTCTTGGAAAGTCATCGCCTGCTTACTATGTTTGAAGCAAGTGGTGGTTTCGACAGAAGTGTGGCCTCTCCAGGCTTTCAGTGCCTTTACTTTTCAGTCATGAATGTAACAGAGACCCTCCCTGGTAGAGGCTTCAGGACTAGCTGAACTCCCACATGTAGGTGCATCAGAGCAGAGCTCATGGGGCACTGGCAGGAATGGGGGAAACACGTATGGGGCAGGTCTCCTCTGCTCACTGTCAGATTCCTGTGTCCTTTTGAACTTCACTTATAAAATACAAGCTCACAGATGCAGTTATTAAGTGTCACGTTGCAGCAGCAGACCATTAAACCAAGCATGGGGCCCTCTTGATCATGGGACCCTGTGTGGCTGCACAGGTCACACACCTGTGAGTCAGGCCTGGTTTCATGACACTGTTTCAGTGAATGTTCTTAGAATTTTTAGCTTTTACCAAGTGACAGACTAGCCAGGAATAGCATGCATGTGTGCCTTCTCTCACTTATAAATATTTTTTAGATACTTGCCATGTGCCAGTCACTCTATGAGGCATTGAGACTACACCAGAGTGTACAAGGCAAGACATGGCATCAGCATCAGTAGTGTGAGCTAGTGAGGAAAATATATTTTTAGTTACACAGTGAGTATTTAAATTGCAATTGTGAGAGAGGCTACAGACGCAACTCTAAAAGGCTTAGCTAGGTGGGAGCTAGGATGTGGCATTTCAGGCTGAGGGTGAGGAGGACTTGTAGGTGAAAAAAGAGCAAAAGTGGTCTCCCAGGCTGAGGGAACAACATAAGCAAAGGCCTTGAGCTGGGGAGGGGCTTTGCTCAGACAAGGAAAGAAGAAGGCCTACACAGCTGGAGCCCAGGGACAAGAGGGAGACCAGCAGGTGGCCTGGGGAGCTGGTTTTGTGTCCCCCACCCCCCTACCTAACTCCTTCCATGCTGTTCATGCTGTTCGAGAATATCAAATGATGGGAGGGGCTCTGTCTCTATTCTTTTTTTTTTTTTCTATTAATTTATTTATTTGACTGCCCCAGATCCTCAATTGCAGCGTAAGAATCTTTTTTTTTTAGTTGCAGTATGTGGGATCTTTAGTTGAGGCATGCGAACTCTTAATTGGAGCATAAGGGAGCTTATTTGGAGCATAAGGGAGCTTAGTTGGAGCATAATCCCCTGACCAGGGATTGAACTCAGGCCCCCTGCGTTGGAAGCATGGAGTCTTACCATTGGACCACCAGGGAAGTCTCTCATCTTCTGTTCTTTAGCAAGTTCAAGATGTGTGATGCTACGTGCTTAGTGTACTTGTGTAGAATGTTTAGGGGGTCATGGGGGCCAGATCTACCCCCAAAATTGATAAATTTAACTACATCATAGATATAAATGTACTCGCTCCCCACTGAATTAACCATTTCCCATCATTTTTGTTCACCATTTCCAATTCACTTCCTGTTCCTAAAATGTGACCTCTGTTTCCTCGAACCTCTTCTCATATATTTCCTGCTCTCAGGAACTTTCCATGTTCTGTTCTGTATTGCCTTCGTTTACCACCAGAGGGTAAGCTTTTAAAAGCAGGTTCTGTGTCTCCTTTACCTATTAAGTGGCCTTAGGAAAATCTTTGTCTAGTAGTTAATTCAGTTCAAAAAAGGCATATTTATCTTTAATAGATTATATATTCATAAAATACAATATTAAACTGGCACAAAAGGGTATATAATCCCCCCCCATCTCTCTCCAGTTTCCCTTGCTGGAGGCAACCAGTATTTTGCAGAGATAATCTGTGTCTGTTGTATATAAGCTATTATATATATATATATATATATATATATATATATTTATTACATGATTTTTTATGAAAAGCCATAGAAGTGAAAGAATGAAAGAATTTCTCCATTCTCCTATTTCTTTTTTTATGTATTAGAAAGATGCAAATTTAAAACAGCAAGGTCCTATTTTTCCATTAATTTAATTAGCAAAGAGTTTGCAGTACTTATGAGAATATGGGGAAATAGGAGTTTTCAAAGTGATAGGTAAAAATATAAATTATTATAACCTCTCTGGCCAGCTATCAAGATTTTTACTGCACATTACCCTTTGACCTTGGAATTCCATTTCTGGATACTTGTCCTGCAGATACACTTGTTCATGTCTGCAAAGATTATGTATCAGAATGTTTATTGCAATAATTTTTGTAATAGGAAAAGATCTTCAAAATACGTTCAGTGGAGTGGAATCCTGGTACTTAGCAGTGTAGCATATAATTCTGTGCTTTAAAAAGGGGAAGGGAAAAAAAGGCAGATAGATATATATATATATCCACACACACACATATATATATATATGCTTATAAACACCTGGAATATTTCACACAGTTAAGAATGATATCCTCTGAGAAGAGAAATTAGGAGTCTTGGTAGAAGAGAGACTTATTTTTTAATATGGTCTTCTTTATACTCTATTATCTCTTCAATAAAAATAAACAGGTAAGAAACACAGACTCTGAAAGTTTAAAAACTAGCTTCTCCTTTCTTTAGCCAAATGACGTTGGGAGTTTACTTAACTCTCTAATCAACTCTGTTTATCTGTAAAGTGGGGTTAATAACTTCCCTTTATACAACTGGCATAAAAATTAGATAATATAAAGAAAATATCTAGTACAGTACCTGAACCAAAAAATGTAGCATTTGAGGCAAAGAGTCCTATACCAGAAGTTACTTTGCAAGTAGCTGCAGACAAGATATGTGATCCACTGTGACCTGGACTCTTCAGTCTTTCGTCTGACCAAATGATCCCTAAGTCCCCTTATACTGAGTTTCCCTGCTGTCTTGCTAGAAGAACCCATTTCTTGCTAGAAGTTCTGGCTTCCGAGCTAGGAGGATTTGGCACAAAATTAGAAGCTCCTAGGAGGAGGTGCTTTGTTCTTTGGCACCTTCCCAGTTCCATATGAGACCATCAGGTAGGTCAGAGTATTGGACAAGAAGAAATGGGTCTGTGTTTATGGAGTCCTATCTTGTTTCATGTTGCAGAGTTGGAGTTGAAAAAAAGTTACAGAGTGGCTGAGAGAACTGCACCAGAATGAAACTAGTGGAAAACTTTTAAAGGAGTGGCAAGGAAAAGCATGGTTGCCAAAGAATCGCCCCCTGGGTTTCATAAGCTAGATGCCAGTTCTGTGGGTGTCACAGAGGGCTTTGTGGGAGTTGGTGGGGGAGGATGCTAACAACACCTGCATCGGGCAGTACTGCCTGCCTGTGGTCCTGAGGTTGGTGCCATGCTTTGGGACTGAAGGAAGGGGTCTGGGATCTCTACTTGGGTCAGGGGCTAAAAGGGAGTAGCAACCACAAAGGCCAGCGTGGTAAGGGGTCAAGAGTGTGTGAGAAACCCAAAGGGAAGCCTCTCTCATTACAGCTGCCCCACTCCCACCTCCCACCTGAGAGGACCACTTTTTATCTTAAAGGAGCCTGTGGGTTTCCTCCCAGAACGCCTCAGATAGGAGAAGGCAGTTAGGTCACTCAGAGAAAATTTGGCACAGTAGACAGATGGCCTTGACTCTCTCTTTCTCGTCCAGGTGCTGAGGGATGTCCTCAAGGATCTCTACCACCTGCTGAAGCACGTGCTGTGTTTGGAGCCCGATGACGTGGCCAGGCTTCATGCCCAGCTGGCCCTGGAAGAGCTGGATGAGATCATGAGAAACTTCCTGTTTCCGCCACAGAAGCTGGAGAAAAAGATCACGGTCTTGCCATAGACCAGCCTCAAAGGACTCGGAGGAGGCAGAGGGACCAAACAGCCTGAGCAGTGTCCAGGCCTTCCAGCAGGTGGCCCCACTGCCCCTTTGGAGCTGGCAACATGGCTGCCCCTGGAGGTGTCTTTCTGTCTCTGGTCACGTGTGTCTTCATGCGGACCTTCCTGTATCATCTGTTTAGTCATACTGCATCCAGTCTAAAGTGTGTACCAATAGAAGATACTACAGGTCTCATTGATCTGAACATTTTTCACTGTCCCGTAGCATTCAGAGAAGGACATCTACCTGATGGAAGTATATTTTTAACACAACCGATGGAATTTAGTTAATTAACCATTCTTTTACGACTTGAGTATAGAAGAGGTTGACCACTCACCTATCACATATCTGATATTCTTCCCTGGTGATGGTCCTTTTGTAATGAGGAGCAGCCAGCCAGGGCTAGTCACCCTTAGCTGCTCAGGTGGCATTTCAGAGGATGGAGATACAGCTGGTGGTAGGGAGGGAAAGGAATTTGTTATCAAAATGTGCAGAAATGGAATAAAATAATCTCAGCTGGAAAGAATAACAGGTCTGAATCTGGTCCTCTGCTATTGAGATGAAAAGCTGTAGCATTGAGGATTCGATCTCCAGAAAAAAGAATCAAACTGGTTGAATCTTCCAGAGAAGAAGGGTAAGCGCTGTGTTTGCCCTCCCAGACCATTTTCTTTCACTTCCTCTGCTAATGTTTGCATTGAGTTGCCCTGATAATAGGAGAAAAGAGTCATGAACATCTCAGATGGAAGTTTATATCCTGCCTTCAGTCTATGCTCCTTTAGATTAAGGAATGTTTAGACAGCGTGTTCATACTAAATGCCTGTTGGAAGTGTACTGTTTATTGGTGACCTGATGCCATGTTTGCTGAAGTAATTTCACATGTAGTGCTATAGATGTCTTTTTACCAATTTACATATTTCGACCTCTGAATTTTGATTACAGCTAAAAGAGAAGACAAAAAGGAGAAACTGGATGACTGCTTCAGACAAGCCCTCTCTGTCATCAACACCTTGGTGAGGCTAACCCAGAGTCTTTAACCAGTCCTCAGGGATGAATTTTGTTGGAGTTTTATCCCAGCTCTCTGGTGACCAGGCCCAACAGAAGCAAAACAGTTTCCCAAAACTCTCAAGTGACTAAAGGATCTGTCTGCAAGCAGGTCCATTTGCTGGTTTACCTCAGACTATTTCCATCTGGCCAAGTTACAGACATGGTCCTTAGCTTAGAACCTTTTTGGTGAGCAGTGAATTAGAACATAGGCAATCAGGTGTTTTTAAGGAATATTTCCATTCAGCTAGGGTATCGAGATTATTCCATTCTCCAGATCAACGATGTCTAGAACATTAGGATCTGACTTTCAGATCAGAGAAGAATCTCCTGTGGACCAGTTGGATAGACACTGGAAGTTTTCATTTCTTGGCCTTCTTCTAACTAAACTCCATACCACCCTCTTAAGACAATCAGATGTGTCAGACCGTTGGTTTAATTTACAACTTTGTTTTAACTGCATTGCAATTCTTAGGACATACCCTCTTGGATCAACTTGATTAGAATGAGAAACTCCAGTCTAAACACCCATATAGGGAGTGCCTCACAGAGCATCCTCGTCCCTTTGTCTCCATTTAGAAGTTGCCTCTTAATTTGAATTATTTGGCAACTGGCTAAAAGCATCTGTTCTTTATTGATTTTGGTGGATTCAGTTTCAGAAAGTGACTTTTTCTGTCCTTGTTACCAAACTCAAAGGGTCATTGTGTATGCCTAGTTGCTCAGTCATGTCTGACTATTTGTGGCCCCCTGGACTAGAGCCTGCCAGGCTCCTCTGCCCATGGAATTTTCTAGGAAAGAAAATGCAGTGGGGTGCTATTTCCTACTTCAGGGGATCTTCCCAGACCGAGGATCGAACCCATGTCTCTTGCATCTCTGCATTAGCAGGTGGATTCTTTACCATTAGCACCACCTGGGAATCCCAAACTCAAGGGGAGGGATACCTTAATGTCACCCTCCTAAACACCAAATACGACTAAAACATTAAAAGTTTCCAAATTATAATCTCCCATGTTTATCTACGTAGATATTATATAGATATGTATATCTATATACATCTCCATCCTTGAGAAAGAGCATGAGAATTTAGAGCTTTAGGATAATAAAAACACAAAACTTAAAAAAGAAAAAGGTGAGGAACTCCAGGGGCAGATGGCAGGAGCAGTGGTGACAGTTTCCTGCATAGGCCTGTAAGGTGTGTCTGCCTCTGTGTCACAGCTGTGCCCCTCCGCTTGCCTCCACCTCTGCCCATCTCTCCTCCTTCTGGGGCCATCTTCTCCTGCTGCTCCTCCAGGCTCCTCCCTCCGTCTCTGCCACTGACACTCCCCTGGCCTTTCACCTCCACTTCCTCCACTGCATAGTGGTCTGCCCCAAGCTCCCCTGTGTCACTCATGGGTCTTTTACTTGCGCCCTCTTCCCTTCCTTGCTGCCTCTTCCACTTCCAGGCCCACTGGCACAGCCCCCTTGATCTCCAGAGGATGGGACTGTGGCAAAAGACTAGCAAGGGGCCGAAAGCTGTGGCTGCAGCCAAACCCAGGCACTCTGCCCAAGCGTCAATTGCTTCATCAGGTTAGACTTCTTGGCCATTCTGGATAGCTTCCCTCTCTGGTATGCTGTCCTTCCTCCTTAGCACATACCTGCCCTTTTACACACCCTCTGTTATTTATTTATTTATCTATTCATTCATTCATTTATGCTGCACTGTGTGGCATGGGGGATCTTTAGTTCCCCAACCAAGGATCACACCCTGCATTGGGAGTGTGGAGTCTTACTGCTAGACCACCAGGGACATCCCCACCCTCTTGTTATTTAATCAGAAATCTCCTAACTTGCACTTTGCTCCCTGTCATCTCTCCAAACACATACTTTTCCATATTTTCATGTTCTTGTTCTTTCTTTACCTCTCTTCTCCATTCCTTCACTTTCCTATGGCTCTGCCAATCCATCCCCGGATAACGGCCAACCAGGGATGCTGGGTAGGAAAGCAAATCACAATGACAACAGTTTGTTGAGCACCTACTATGTGCCAGATGCTGTACCAGGCACTGAGAACACAGCAGCAAACAAAACCCTGACCTTCAGGGAGAGCTGACACTATAGCAGAAGGAGCCAGACAAGAAATAAGATAAAGAATAGAACATCAAATAGCGATAAGTGCTATAGGGAAAAATGAGGTCAGGAATTGAGCTGCGTATTGGCTGAGAGCTGTAAGTTTGGAGAAGTTGTCCAGAGAAGGCCTCCCTGAGAAGCTGATATTTGAGTAAAGATCAGAAGGAGGTGAAGGAGCAGACATAAAGATACTTGGGGGAAGAGCAGTCCAGGCAGAGGAAGTGGCGACTGCCAGGGTCCAAGGTGGGAGAGAAGAGAGGTGAAAGAGGAGGGATGGTGTGAGCCCACTGGAAATGGAGGGAAAGGATGTGGGACACATAGCCTGTGGACCACTTTGAGTGAGGTAGGGGCAGCCACAGACCTATTTCCACCTGAAGCCCCTTCAGCATGTTTTTGGTGTTTTTTAAGATTCTTTTTTTTTCCTTTAAATGTGGGCCATTTGAAAGTGTTTATTGAATTTGTTCAATATTACTTCTGCTTTATGTTTTGGTTTTTTGGCCAGAAGGCATGCGGGATCTTAGTTCCCTGACCAGGGATCAAACCCGCACCCCCTGCATTGGAAGGCGAAGTCTCTTTCAGCTTGTTTTTGGAAAGTACTTTGAGCCCAAGGTGACGAAAGCTGTAAAATGGGAAATACATTGAGGCAGAGGGAATTCATACCCAACCACGGTTTTTTTTCCCCCTCCGTCCTATGGAAGCAGTGAGCCCTGTCCCCTTTCACCACCCTCCTTCTTTGGCAGCAGAAGAAAGAGGACAGCAGCCCTGTGGGTCTGGCCTCCGTCCCCGCCCTGCTCCAGCTCTTTGTCTGTGAGGCTGTGAGTGAATGGAGCCTTGCCTGCCACCTGCCTGTGACTCACGGGCAGTCCCTGCATGAAGGGGCAGCCAGGGCGAGTGAAAGCTGATCCGTGGGTGGGAGGGTGGCTCATCCGACCTGGGCACAGTCAGACTGGCCTCTGCAGTCTGCACAGAATCAAAGGCTCAGCTGGGATTTCAGTGCAAGGCGGGGGGCGGCAGAAAACGGGAACTGAGTTTCAGGGTGGGCTGTGGGAGGCAGCCACTCTGCCTGACCGTGGAAGAAGGGTAGGCATGGGCTTCTTCCCCTGCACCCTGGACAGGAGCAGGCATGACCTCTAAGGGCTCAGCTGTGTCCTCTAGCGAGTTCTGCAGCCACAGAGCTTCTGCAGTCACACGCGGCAGCCTCACTGCAGTGCGCGCTCCTCTCCCTTCCATGCACCACTTGCTCCGAGCTGCCTGGCCGTTTGGGGGTTGGGGAGTTGTCTTCTTAGAACACCAGCTGCTGCCAGGGCTCAGGGCTGCGCTCAGGGTACCCATGCCTGCCAGCCGTGAAGAGGGAGCGCAGACCCGCACCATCAGCCCTGAGAGGGGTTGTTTCCACTTACTCAAAGGGTCCTCCCTGTGGTCCCTCCCCACATGTCCTTCATGCTGACTCAGGGGGTCCGTGCTCCCAGGAGGACTCAGGTGTTACCTGTTCCCACCCCCAGGACACTCTGCATCCGTGGGCATAGAAGAGCAAGGCCAATCCCTCTGGGTTTCCTTTAGTTTGAAGGTCATTTTTTATCCATGAGGTTGTTTAATTCTCAGGACAGCATCGTGGAGCGAAGAGGCAAATTATTGTTATTCCTTTTTGGTGGAATTTGGCCAAAGTCTCCTGGGGGGTTGAAGCAGACTCTTTTGAACATATGTTGAATCCTAGGGAGCCTCTCCCCACAAAATTAGTACAGAAGGAAAACACTTCCAACTAGAGCTCAGTTTGGGAAAAACTCAGGGGCTCATGTACACACAGAAACCCCGGCATGTGAGTCCCACGAAGCAGTGGTTGAATCTCCGAAGACCTGTGCTGAGGGATGCTGGCCCTGTCCTGTCCCCTGCCCTCAGAGTGCTGACGAGCAGCAAAGCCAGCTCCTAGGTACAAACGCCCTGGCTGCATCTGTCTGTCTGTGCACGCACATGTGTGTTACATATATTTTATGAATTATAACAGACGTAAAGTATATGTGACAAAGATATACTCACCCCCACTCCTACCCAAGGTTACCACTGATCAGCAGTTGGGTGTATATCCCCAGATCTTTCCTTCCTTTCACCCTTTCCCCAAATGAACACTCAAATGTACATTACTGCTTTCAAAAGGAAAAATGGGATTGTCACCATAAAGACTGTCCTGTATATTTGTTTCTTAGTCACATATCTTGGAGACATTTTCTTAGTCACATATCTTAGACTCTGCCCTGTGATGTGGTGTGTCTTCCATTGTATAGATGACCCACAGCTGGTTTAAGCATTTGCCTCTTGATGGTCAACTGAATTATCTCTAATTTCCAGTGCTTCTCAGACATAACTCTTTGCATCCTGAAGTGTTTCTATAAGTCCTAAGAGGTTGGAAGACCAGATTCAAAAGATACAAATCTTTTCAGTGTTTGTACCACAACGTCTATCAACCTGCTTTTGCTGATCTCTGTTCCTCCATCCTCAGCTGACTGTGTTAATATCTATGCCATACAGGTTCAGTCACCATAACACAGTGTTAACACCACTCTCTAAAAAATTCCAGCCCAAGGAGTCTTCAGAGGGTGGAGTTTTCTGTGGATCAAAGCCACTAATAGGGGCACAGTGACACTCTCTGCAGCTGTGCTCACTGGCAGCCAGCTACGAGTACTCATCCTGGAGAGAGCCTGAGCCCCCGCAGGTCTGTTCAGAAGTGCTTGGACGAGGCTCTCCACTCGGAGACTCAGTCCTATGTGTTCAGGGAGTGCCTTCTCACGGAGTTAGAAGTGCCCCCTTGATAATGACCGTGGTTCCCAAAGCAGACTCAGGACCTAGGGTCTGACGGCGCCTCAGAGTA